TAGCTAAAATGAAATGCTTGCTTCTTTAATCTCACGTTTGCTTTTGTTAACGCTTTTGGTTAGGGTTAGGGTAGGGTTTAGTGTAGGTTGAACGTTATTTTCAAATGCGTTAGAGCATTAACCTTTAAGCGCCACTCACTGGGCATTTCATTTCCAAACTGACGTGATATGTACACCATTTTGGCACTATCATGTTTATCCGTTTCTGAGAAAATGTAATGTGCTTTTTGGTGCTCTGGACATTACACTTTGTTTGGAAACGTGCAAGCAATGTAATATCATTTTTGCAAAAATTTCTTTACTGGCTACAACAACAGGCATATTTTTATTTTTTATTTTTTTTAATGAGCCTGGGTTGTTTAATCCTTGTGTAGAAATGTTTTCTTATTACAGTTTTTGCAGTTGACAGCAAAGTTTAGCCATCTTCCACTTGTTTTTGAGTGTTATTGACATTGAATGATGATCTTGTGACTTTTATAAAAATCTGATGTGAGATTGTTATACGGACAACAACAGAAGCACACACATCTAAATCTGACTCACTGCTGACTTGACACAGAGATTAAATGGTCTTACCGATTGGGGTTTTCGTTTGTGGAATGTTGGATCAATGTAAGTGATCTCTTCTTCACAACTCTGAACTGTTTAAACAATAATAACAGATAAATTAAAACAACTCAATCTTAACTAGATATGTTTCCTTACAACATCAAGGCTCAAATACAAGCATTAATGCACACGATTTAACAAATATTTAATGCTGCATTTAAAAAAATGTCAGTAAATAATTTATTCAGCTTGACATTAGGACTGTTTCACACACAAAGTTCTTAGCAGAGTAAGCTATAATTGTTTAGAAATTCTTCACATGTAATTTTCATTGAAGCTCAACAAGCGAGACCCACAAATGAAACATTGTCATTCATAGAGATGTTCATTTGAACACCAGCTGAGTGATTAAATTATAATTATGTTCTGTGGACGTTTGTTCATTATTTCTGTTTCGTTTTGTCCCTGTTTCTCATTGGTTTAGTTACTGTTTACTTAATTGTCCTGGCGACTGACTGCTTTAAAAGCAGTAGGAAACACTTGCCTTCTTGATCAGTTTTTCTACATTTCCTGTAGATGCAGAAGATCACGACAGCAGAGACAATCAACAGAGATCCAGCAGCAGCAGAGATCAGCACTATGTACAACATGGGTAGGCTCTGATCTGCAATGAACAAAATTATTTATTAGTGTTAGTGAATGTGTCTGATCTATAAAAAAATCTGATGAGCTCAGTAAATAAACACATATAACAGCGCTGCTGTACCTGAACATGTGCGACAGAGTTGACTGATGTCCAGATGTGTGGTCTGGTTGCTGATGGGATTTTTGAGCACACAGCTGTAAGTGAATGAATTGTTGAGCACACAGCTGTAGGTGTTTTTATCCTGATATTCCACCTCCAGAGGTAGAGAGAGACTGATGCTGAGATCAGACACACTGATGCTGGACAATAAACTGTTTCCTTTGTACCAGGAGAGAGTCACATGACCCACATTCACCACTGAACACAACAATGAACAATTCTGCTGTGATGATGATGATGATGATGATGATGAAGAACAGTTTGAAGAGTTATTGCTGATGACAGGAACAGGCAGACGAGCTGAAAACATGACAGAATAAAGAGAAACTTTAACATGCTCAGTGAATGTTTAGTGTAAATAGTTAATAACATAAACAAGAATATACAGAGCACACGACATCTCTACTCACCATAGACAGAAACATTTAATATTTTTGTTAACAGTTTTGCTCCATTTATCTCTAGTTGATAAACTCCAGCATGTTCAGATGTGATGTTTGTGATGGTCAGAGATCCAGTTTGATTGTCCAGCTTCAGTCTGTCTCTGAACCTCCCATCAAGAACATCAGATATGGAGAAGATTTGTTTGTTTCTTTTGATATTTGCTATGAAAGACTTTTCAGTTCCCAATGACAACACTATCCTGCCGTCTTTGCATTCAGTAACATCAGTGTTTAGAGTAACAGAATCTC